AGCCATGGCTATGGGTGAAAACGGAACAGATATTTTCCGACCGTATTCGAGACCGAATCCGTTTAGAAGGGCTCAAATCTGTCTGTATCCGAATCCGGATATTCAACATCTGATACCGTATCCGTATCCGAATACTCAAATCGCATATTTATGATGTCGATATCCAATCATATCCTATCCGGTATGGTTGACACTATCCGTATTCGAATCTGAATCTGGACAGAAATATGAAAACAAATGTAATATCAGTGGTATCCGTCCGTATCCGATCCGTTTTCATACCTAGCCATGGCTAAAAGTACTGTTATCTGGTTTGGTGTGAGAGAAAAATATTTTTCGTTAGCTGATAAGCCATGGCTTATAAGCCATGGTTCTCAGCTACAGACTTTGTAGTATTCTAATTGTCTATCTTTTACGAAGGCTTTTGTTAATGTTTCACATTATATCTGAGTTGTTTAACTTTAATGAAGAATTATGTACTAATGATGTTCCGAACATTACGCTCGCAATTTTTTGGGTAAAAGTGCAACATTTTATAGATATATTATTGTGCCATTATTTTTTTCCGTTACAACACACAAGCATTTACCTAGCATCTTTTTGAACGAAGACAGGATTTTTAGAGGACCCGAAGACTTGCCAATATCTTAGAATGGTCTCGGTCATTTGCCAACCCATACATTTGTGCGGTATAAACCTAAAGATACTTGCACTCGCGCGCAGGGGCGCGCCCTTTGTACTAGTTTCTAAAACCGTTGAGGCGCTGTCGCGTTCTAGGCAACAACTCGGTGCAATTTTGTCCGGTTTCACTGTATGGACACGTTCCAAATCGTAAATAATACTGTCGCTACCACCAACACAAACCTATGCAACGCCCAACGCAGCACTCCCTATCCTGTAGGCTGTAGCCTGTAGGCAGTTGAGTAGAACGAAACGCAGACGCAAGACAAGAAAAGCGAACCTACGAGCATCAATTTTCGCGGTACACGTACAAGGCTCTGAGAAAGCAATGTAGTATTGCACGTAGCATTAGCAAACATACTCTTCTTGATAAAATCCTAGGTGATAAGATCGCATTTATAAACGAGCCTGCAAAAACGCAGATTAGACGGTCCACCTCAGTTTTGTATCATAGACGTGAATTTATCACCCATCGTTGGGGTGGCAATCTCAACGGTGAAATCACTTGATATCTTAAGTACGCAGCAGTGAGATTTACATACTTCCATTCATTACCACGGTTAGCTACATACATTTTCTGTTCTACGTTCAGTACACAGATAACAAAAATACAGCGTAGTTCATACAGCGCAGCAGCCACAGATCAATCCCAGTCAGCATCAAAGAACCCAGCATCCTTCATTTCAGAATAGTAGACGTTCTCTAGGAGCATGTCTTCCTCCTACACATAAAATTACAAAATAAATCAGCAAAGACAAATAATTTCATTACAAGTCACAGACAATTATACCAGTAGACAAGCTAAGGAACTAAGGAAGAAGCACTACACAGTAACAGATTATAGGCAAGAAGGTACCTGGAAGAAGTCTGCTAAGAAAGTCACATATAGAAGGGGAAGGTAAAGAGAATGATAGCATACGGTTGTGAGATTATATAACCTACAGCGAAAGAGGTCATCATCCAATATTGCTCCTGAAGGTGAATAAGTTACCATAAAATTTGAAAAGTGTTCTGTATGTACCATAAACCAAATCTGGCTCCACTTGCAAGAAGGAAACATCCAAACAGTGATAGGCTATTCAATAGCAACATCGCACATACATAGTTGTAGTAAGCTGGTTTTGCTGCAGTAAAACAACCACGAGACTATGGTCATGAAACACCAAACAAAAGAATTTTGGAACATACAAAGACAATAACCAATTACCAGGCAGCCTGTCTCTCCATCTTGAATGATGCATGAAAACAATCAGGCCATAGACTCCAGTAAGCACAAGTTTGTGGAGAATCCATAGGCCCCATTTCCCACCAGTTCCTTGATCAGCATCAATGAACAAAGGAACACCGAAGCCAAAAACATATATAGTCTGAATAAGGACAAAGTCAGTTTAAGATAGAGCAAAAGGCTACAACAAGTGAACTAGAGTATTAATCCGCTTTCCACTTGCAACATGATTTAACACATTGAAACAAGGAAAGGCGTGTCAGGTTAGGTTAAGTCATGGGGCCTTCTGGCCTTGTCTTTCATTGAGCAGCCAAAAAAAAACTTTTACAGTGACATGAGATGAGCGGGCAAGATCTACTACCAATAGAAATTCAGTACCAACTTGCAATAACCAATCCACTATTATGGAACAGTGTAAACAAGAAAAATATTATGTTCTCTAATAAATTAACATTATGGACCAGATACACCAGTCAATTAACTTAGATTGTTGCTAAGAAAGCAAATACGACACAGCATCGCAAAAAATTCTAGTTGAATCCCAAAAACTGCAACAACTAAGAAATGAAACCTAACACACATTACTTCTAAGAAAAGCTAGTTACTGTTCGCTATGCCTGAATTTTGGAGTAGATCATACCTTGAGCAATACATCAGCAGCAACTACAGCTCCAGAGATAACAAAGGTTCGTGCCAAAGATTCAAAACCACTGGCATCATTTCCTTGAAGTAGAAAGGCTATGAGACTGACTTCCAAGAATAACATTCCTGATTTTGTAAACAGTGACAGTACATTCCAAGAGAATGCCCTGTCAGGCATACATTGCCATGCCTGCAAAAAAAAAAAAAAATCCATACTTACATAAGAGGTACAGGTAATACACAAGGTAAAAAAAAACAATAAAAATGAAATTTCGGATTCATAAGTCAGGATTGTTCATCTGATTTTCCTTCTGTAGTTCTGTACAGCAGGACCATATCAAATCTAAAAATGGATTAATCCACTTACATTAGTAGCAATACCAAGATGTGCACCACAAATCTAAGCCTAATAACCAGACCAATGCGAAATATTATTTGACATCAACACCCAGCCATCAGGGATTTTAATTTTCCTGAACCCAGCTGAGCTTCCCACCTGTTCATCATTACCAGCTATAACATGACCCTAGGAGCTTGCTATTTCCTTTTTGAAAACCCACCAAGCCTTGCTACTGGCTCAACATTGAGACTCCCTGACGAGTGACCAGCTCCTAGCCTACCCATCCTACCCATAGGATTCGATCACGATGTGGTCTTCAGTTATTTCATTATCGAGTTGAAACATCAAAAGACTACTTGGGTATAGCTAATGTTGACCAAAAGTTCACCTAATTCCCAATTTCCATTCTTTTACCTACTTATTCTACTCAGCCATTGAACACTAGCAAAACATACAAACATTACTGATTATCATTCCAACCTGAAAATACAATTCAAAAGTGTCATGATCTGGTATAGATTTCTCACAGCTCAGTTTTACCAACAAGTTCATCTCTCATTAGCTCCACTTGCCCCTACTTTTCAAGAAGAAATTCCCCCTGCCTTTCACTAGTCATAACTTAAACTACACGCACAGCAAAGTACTTTTTTTAATGGAAAGCATTCCCCCTAATGATCATCAAATGACCAAATCAACAACCCAATCAAAGCACGGAGAGTTTCATAACCAGGCATACGGGACTTAGAGATAAGCAACACAGGGAACCAATCCGAACCTGCAGGAAGCACCAGAGGAGGTTGAGTACGGCGACGGCCCAGAGGAGCGCGTAGTACGCGACGACGACGACATGAGAGCGGCCGTAGCTGAGCCTACGGAAGCTCCGCCGCGCCTGCCACGCCAGGAACCCCACGAAGGCCAGCGACGGCAGCATCACCGCCAGGCTGTACAACACCCCGTGGCACTCCGACGCCCACCATAACGGCCCCAGCAACACTGCAGCGCCGCCCGACGACTCGTTGGCCTCCGGCGCCACCGCCAGCGCCATCCCGCCGTCCGCGAGCAGCGCCCGCATCACCGACACCGGCCCGAACGCCGGGGAAAGGGGAAGGGACGTGGGTGCGCGCTAGGGTTTGGGTCGGTGGAGGGATTCGGTTCGGGAGGTGGAATTGCACGGAGATCGATTTGCTCGATTGCCGAAAGATTCCACTGGCTGGTGGGGACTGGGAAAGCCGGAGGCCGCCGAGTGGGTCAACAGCCAAGGAGGAGGAAGATGGAACGGAACACCGATGGCTTCGTGGTGGGCCATAAGGCCCACACATGACGTCTTTGGACGGCCCGATAATAAGAAGCTTACGCGCCAAAAGGCTTTCTTTTATTTCATTCTCTGCTAGTTTATAATCCGCATTTAAGATATTTATAATGATGTGCCAATGATTTTAAGAAGATAGATAAGATATAAATTACACCTAGATAAAACTTATATTGCTAAAAAAGACTCGATAATATTTGATTTGGTTTTCAACTCTGTATGGATCAAGGAATGAAAACTATAGAAAGGCTTTGAACTAATGAATGAAACTCTGTATGATTTTTAGAATGAACTAATAGATGCACAATTTTGTTCTAGCTCAGCCCAAGCGCGCACGCCTTACTGAACACGGTATAGCGAAAAGTGAGTTCGATTTTTTTTTCTGAACCCGAATCTGGCCATTTTCCTAACAAAAAACAGCGAGCAACCCGCTTAGGCGCAGGACCGGCCTGAGCCTGGCCTAAAAAAGAGACCTGAAACAGCGGTCATAACCATCATATAGCAACCAGGCCGAAAGAACAGTAACATCTGAAAGTTACAGACAACTAGCATTAGCCATACTTGAAATATCACCGTGCTCCTACATCTGATCACATAACACAGGATAAGTCACATCACCATATTCCTACGTGTAAACCGAGAAGTTGCTTCTAATTTCCTAACAAAAGAAGCCAATAAGGCAACGGGAAAGCAATAGTATATTCTATGTTTCTATATTCCTACGCAGCCAGCATTGCGGTGATGCACGACTGCTGGAAATTGGGACAAACGGGGGTAGACTTGTTAGTAGTCCCTGAACTGCACTAGTTCAGTAAGCGACACTTGATACTACTCAGCGAGTCTACTGGTGCTGCAGCAGCTCCATCATGTTTCTTGACAGTAGCTGTGCAGGGGTCGAGTCCAGAATTTTTAGCGTATCCATGACACTTCGCAAGACGATAGACAATATACCACCGCTCCAAGTCCTGCAGCTCTGATGCCATATCATGTAATGTCATCATCTTCTCAGCGCTGAGATACACAGGAAAATACATAAGAATGTCAAATTACGAGAGTATAGGAGCATCATTATTATCGCAGTCACTGGAAAGAAGAAAAGTATGAAATCATAGACCAGTACAGAGGTATGTTTGCAGATGTTTATGATTAACTGCAGAATTCAAAAACTAAAGCCCGTGAGTTGTAGTTCAACTATTGGTACACCATACCTTAACAAGGAAATTTCCAGCTTGCCAAACCTCGACCCATAGGTTTCCAGAACTTCTGATAGGATTTTTGAGTCTTCGTTAGCAGAAGTGCTGCTCTGGTGTAGTAGCCTGGCCAAATACCACAACATGAAGATTCTTAAGATCAAAGTAGTCCCAAAACTACAAAGATATTATGAATAAATCAGCCTGCTGATTATGATATGGTTACAGTCCCTTATACTACATCAAATAATTTTTTTTTTTTAGTTTTTATCTAACTAGACTAACACTGAAGATGTTAAAACCTTGGAGAATGATACAAAAGGAAACATATTCAAAAGAAAGAAAACGATGCTTACGTGTCGTCATTCCCAACAGACAGAACAGTGTCACATGCGTCACTGAGTGCGAATTTAGAAAGGTGGTATACAATGGTTTCAGCGAAATTAGTAACATTTGTGGCAAGAAGTCTAGCTGGTACAACAGGAAGAATATTCTGAATCAGGCTAGTTGTCAAAATAAGTCTTTTCCCAGCTCGAGTACTAAAGCTGCTACTTCCCATTGTTGCATTCTCATCATCTACCTGCTATGCACAATAAGGATGTCAGGCCAGGGGAAAAAATTGCACAACAGAAAGGGTTTTACACTACATAGCGAAAATCATATAACCTTCTCAACCAATCTTTTGGTAGCACGAGCCCAATCCAACTCAGGAATTCTATAGATCAAAACAAACAAACAAACATCAGCGGATCAGCCCCTTTGCACATGTGTCAAGCCAAAAGGAGTTGCATAAACATTTTTTAACAAAAGAAGCAAGTCAAACTAAAGCTCAAATACTTTGTTCAAAAGATGGGTGAGTTCAATTAAAAATCAACACCTTCTACGATGCCTGCTCCCATGCACAGTCATGACTTGTGCATGCCATGCTAAAAGCTTTTCTGTAGCCCTTTTCCGCTTTTTTTGCTGTGAAACGGCCTTGTCATCAAGCTTGTCAGCTGGCAAAACACTTGAGTGTGAAGGTTTGCTTGCTGAGTGTATGGTACTCTGCTGAGGATCAACAATCTGGCTATAATCATCACAACCATACATGTATGTTTCAATATCCATACTCTCAGGAGTGTTTTGTTCAAAAGACTTGGGGTGGAGGATGCCATGGCATTCAGAATTGTATTTTGCCCTTAAAACTACTTTCTTGATCTCTGTTCCCTGAATACATGATGAGTTGAGGTCCTTGGACAAACTCGGGCCAGGCTCTTGAACAGAAGTAGTATGTGTAATGGGTAGCTGCATGTCTGAGCATCCAGTGTGGTTTGAAGTACCTACTCCAAAGGTGCAATCTGTGACTACGCCAGGTTGTGCTGTCTGTAAAACTTTGGCTGCCATTGCTTCATCATGACATACAGAAGCGCCTATTGGACAAGATTGGTTATCCAATCTACCAGTGAACTCTAGATTGCAATTAGCAACACTGTCGGTCATTTCCAGCCTAGTATCAGTAGCAACACTCTGTGGTTGCTGTACTAAAGTACCTTCACTTGTGGGCAGCAGGTGTCCTTTACCATTCCCCCCCAAGCTAATTATTGAACTGGGCTCACCAATACTTTTGCAACAATCCAGTAAAGGCAACCCAGAACTTGACATATTTTGCCACTGAGATGCTGAAGCATAAAATAAGCCACATGTTTGAGAAGTAGATTGATACTGTTCAGGATAAGAAGACCCATCAGATATAGCTGACTCTGGTGGTCCAGTTTGCATATATGGGGCAGTATTACTAAAGCATGCAGCAGAACCACTTTGATCTAATTCGATCTTCATACCAAACTCAACCAAATTGTTGCTGCATTTTAACAAATTTGATTAGATTGCAACACAGAAATACCAAATTGGGCAGTGAACTTAAGAATAAATAAATATTTGATTCGAAACAGAAAATGTGGACACTTTGCTAGTTTTAGTGTTCGTAGCAGAGTAAGCTACTATGACCCATCTGACTGAAAATAGTGAATGCCATTACCAAAGAAGTGTTTGGCAGTAACATTTTTGTTACAAACCAAAAATCCATCTATAGAAATAGTTAAGCCCACAGTTATAAGTGTTGCAAACACCATCATGCTGTTACTGTGAAGAACAAGTATTAGTAAAGTTGCAGGCTCCTAATTTCAACATGAAAATGAAATTAATCATCAATGATATGATGACACTGCAGCACCTCAATTTACCTTTGCTCAAACATTCCACATGTTTGCGAAAAGGAATCAGTTGATACACCAAACGAATTTAGAAGTGAATCAATTTCCATTTGCTCTTCACATTCATACAAGAGGGGTGACTTTTTTGAGCCATTATCCACAGTTCCATCTGCACTATATACGAATGAACTTGACAGCTGATGTGATATATCATTCTGTCTGTCTTCAGTGCTTGGCATAAAGCCAGAAGATTCTATGTGACCAGGAATTGTTCCCCATTCAGCAGAATGCATTTCACCTCGGCTTCCATTAACATGGCTCGTTGTGGGCCCTTTCTGATGAGGCAGTTCAACCTCAAAAGATGATTTGTTTTGCTCATTGTTATTCATCTTATATTGGAGATCAGCAAAGTTCTGAAAGCTACAAACAGTGGAGGCACTTGTGAGGGTGGTCTCAGTATCACCAGGGAAAGGCAAAAAACTTGAGGTGAAAGATGGGCTTTTTAAAGAGCCATTGTCCCAAACAACTTGATGCTTCATGGTATTCCCACCGGACAGTTCTGCATGATTGAAAGTCAAGCCACTGCACTCTTCATTGAGTCCATTGTCACTGTTGGATGCTTCCAAAGCCTCTTGCATTTGCATAAGGGCATCCCAAGTTCCATCCCGTGTGCCCGAAAAGTGGTTATTGCTTTGCAAAGGAGTACTATATGGATAACTTGCAATTCCTATGCTACAACTACTTCCAAATGAGACAGCTCTGTCATCAGTGTCATAGGAAGTTAGTTCTTCTGTATGATCAAGACAGGATGCATTAGAAGGTCTACGCCGGTGGATGATATTTGTGCTGATATTTTGCATCTGCATTCCTTCATACACTTCAGGCTGAGGAGGCCCCAGAAGGTAGTCAAATTGCTGATATCCTCCCATCACAGAAGAATCATTATTCAGACCAAACTCTGCAGCATTCACGAGAAGACCTTGGGCTTCAAATCCCTGCTTTGAAACAGAACAACTGTACTGTAAAGCTCGGGTATAGAATTCCTGATTAGCATCTTGTGGAAGATAAAATGTGTTTGGGTCAACTGACAAATCTTTTGCACTCGGCCCATCCACATTTACCAAAAGTTCAGCACAATCGCTAGACTGGGGACATAGCTGCAAATAGGCTGCCCCCCTGAACCTTGAAACAGGAGTGGTGCTCATGCTTTGATCACTTGATCAGCATCTGCAGGTGATTGGATCCAAAGATTTACACATACCAGTTAGAATTAATCAGATCAACAAAACCTGCAACAACTGTAAAACCCTAATTACCCATTTGACATCTTATGACCTACGAAAAATCACCTCATGTCCATGTGCTAAGAAAACTAAATAGAAGAATACTGCACAGTATAAAGCTAGAACGGCAAGCCGAGAGCTAGAGATTAACAAAAGGCATGCGCCACCCCCCCAACCCAAGCTTAAAAACTCACCGAACAAAAAACCCTTGAGCTCTAAAACGCCCGAGGGCATCGACATTCACACTGAAGAATCAACAACGAGCCACCTCAAAGCTCAAGCTAATTAACAACTAGAACGGCTAGCTAAGCAACCAATCAACTACGAGAATAGCTAAACAAACCACCGATAGAAGTAATAAGCGTGCGCGGCGAGATGAAGCGAGGCCTTACTGGCTACCGGTGAGGTCGAGTGTAGCGGCGGCTCGGCGGTGAGCTCCTGGACCCGCGCCTAGCTGCTGGTCTGTCTCGCGGGGTTAGGGTTTTGGAGCTGGGAGCGGAGCAGCCAAGGCGAGCACCAGTGAGAGAGCACAAGGAAGGGAGCGCAGACTGCGCAGTGGGAACGCGGAAGATGCCTGCCGAGTTGCCGACTCGTGCGCTTTGACTTTTCTTTCAGCGGTCGGCGACCGGGCGGCGGGGGCCGCCAACTGGGCCGTACCGGCCCGGCCCGTGTGGGCCCACGTATAAATCTACTTTTAATCTCTCTCTTTCTCTCTCTTTTTTTTTTAGATTAATCTCTCTCTTTCAGTCTTTCTCATCCCTCCAGAGTCCACAGAAGAGAGAGAGGAGCGAGAGAGAGAGAGAGAGAGAGAGAGAGAGAGAGATGAAGGAGGGATCGTCGTCGGGGGGAGGGGCGCTCGCTGGGGGCAGCGATCCGAGGCAGCCGTCGACGGCGAAGCCGTACGCGCCGCCGAAGCTGTCTCCCCAGGACCTGCCCATCGACTACGCGGGCTTCCTCGCCGTCGTCTTCGGCGTCGTCGGAGTCATGCTCCGCGTACGTAACCATGTCACCCTCTCTGATCTGAATTTGATTTCCGGGTAATGTTTAGATCTGGACAAGTTAGTGGTAGATCTGCATGCTCGAGCAGTCCCGTGTGAGTGATGTGTGCTACCTTACGAGCTACTGCTATACTGGCCGTGCTAACGCCACGGTGACATCAAGAAAAAAAATCATAAAACTAAAACAAATTCCATACAAGATAATGTTTGGGGGGGCAATGGCTATAAATTTTCACATATTTACACGTTGAGATGGAAACACATTTGTTGAAGCTATGTCCTATTTCTAACTGCTTGTTCCTCGCCCTCCTCTTTAGAAAGAATGATGAACCTTGCTTTTTCCTCATTCTGGATGGAAGAATACTCCACATCAAAATATTAGGAATAGAATAAAACTGGACGGAAGAATATTCCACATCAAAATATTAGGAATAGAATAAAACTATACAGTAGCATGAGAGGAGGCCATGGCGCCATGCCAATTCAGTTTGTGATAGTCAATTGGAGGCGCATATGCAAAAGGAACAAATCTTGGCTGTGGGAAAAAAGTTGAACGGCATGATTTTGTAAATTTGAAAAATAAACTGAAAGGGTGTTAATTGAGAAGATCTATCAGCAGAACCATTGACACCTATCTTGTGACCGCAAAACACATAGCAAAACTGTCTACTTCTACTGGAACATAAGACTTACCTTCTTTATTGGAAGAAAGATCTCTCATGCTATCTCTCAACTTTAGCAGGATGAGAAGCATCATCCACACTATTGGTTGAAACCAACCTTCCAAAGAAATGTAGGCAATCACTGAACATGAAAAACACCAAGGGTCACACTAATATAATAAATAACTATGCAGAAATGTCTAGGCAGAGGCGATACATCGAATACCTTGGTTGTGGTAAGGTTCTCCTTCCCAGCAGCTGCTGCGCGGTGACGATGGCCCTGGACAGCAGCAGCACCCGCCCGGCCGCCCGAGCTGCTCCTGCACCACGCTCCTTCCCCCGCTCGACGCCCTCGACTGTTCGCCTCAGGTCGTCCAGCGCCTCCTTCATCACCTGCACGAGCGCCAAACCACATGAAAAAAATCGAGCCATTTGCGCTCGTGGCACGGACACACACGCACCTGGAGCGCATCCTCGATGCGGTGAGCCTTGGCCGCCCATTCCTCGGCCGCGTTTTGAAGATGCAACAAATACAACATCTTAGTGGACTCATTAGAATACATAGAAGCCAGGGTCAGACTACAAACATGGCAGCATACATTCGCGAGTACAACATTCCCATGACTTGACACAGGCAACAGAGAAGCAGATCAGTTTTAATTGTAAATATTGGCTAAATATATCCATTATCGATGGGGAAGAATGATTAGCAGCAACAAGAAAAAAAATAAAAAACCTAGAATATATCCATTAAGTAGCAGGAGCAGTCTCAAGATTCCTGTTTGAGCAAGTTGAGGTATGTACATTCAAAAGAACAGGCTACACGGGCTTCCTCGCCGTCGTCGGAGTCATGCTCCGCGTACGTAACCATGTCACCCTCTCTGATCTGAATTTGATATCCGAGTAATGTTTAGATCTGGACAAGTTAGTGGTAGATCTGCATGCTCGAGCAGTCCCGTGTGAGTGATGTGTGTTACCTTATGAGCTATTGATGGTGACGTTATGGTTGCCTTACTGGGCTGCACGCGTCGATATGGTTTCGGTTTCTAATCGATTTCGGTTTGCAGTACAAGGTGTGCTCGTGGATCGCGATCATCTTCTGCGCACAGTCGTTGGCAAACATGAAGAACTTCGAGAATGATCTGAAGCAGCTCTCCATGGCCTTCATGTGAGTTTTCTTACCATGTGCATTGAACTATGAATTTGGCTTCTAAAAACAGTACAGAAAATCTAGAGCAGCATAGCGACATATTCTTACTCAGTTTACCAATAGACTCTGACTATCTTTTCATACTGTAAGCCTACCAAAATACAAACTGATTTGGAAACCCATATTTTACTTGTGTATACTCAAATTTTCTCCTAATTTTCATTTGTAGCATCGGCTCTTGCTGAAGTTGTGCAACCAAACTATTATTTATTTAGTTCATTCATTGCTCCTTAGTTATTGCCATATGTGCTCCTCAATTTATGGGTTGTTTGTTAACGCTGAATTGATTTGTGCTATGGTTAAGTAAGACTAACATTTCTGCCTATGTTATGCTGCAATCCTTAGGAATTGGTTATAATTTTATTATAGGCTTATTGTTGCAAAATATAACCTTTCGTTGTTACTGATGTTACAACTGTGCTTCTTGACGTGGAGGCATGCAGCTCCTGAGTCACATTTACTATGAGCTTCCATCATGATTTTACAAAGAGTAAAGTGTACTGCTCAAACATGTTCAGAGGTGTCAAATAGGTCACCAGACTATTGTAAACTGCACTAACGGTTCCTAAACTTGTTTGGGAGTGTCATGTAACTGTCTAACCTACTAATTTACAACTTCAAGTCTCTAAGCTTGTTAATTAGTGCACTCAAGGTCCAAATCTCCCTGATTAGTGTTGATCCGTCAGTCCATCTATTTAGCATATACATGACATCCAGAAGGTGTCACTCCTGTCTTAAAGGAGATACGGTGGCTGGCAACACTTCTGCTCAGTTGGACGTGCGTGCTGAGTTTGATGCCCATGTGGGCATTTAATTGTTTGCTTGTTTAGACTGTAATGTCCTGTGTATAAAGCTTGGTTTTGAGTCAGCGTTCAACGTGAGTTTTTAATGCTTTGTTGTTATTTTGGTAGTAAGTTTTTTGGCCACACTATCTAAGCTCTTGGTGCTTAACTGTGTGAGCAGTTTAAATGGTAGTGACGCGACAAACATGGATGACTTAATCCTGCTGTAATTTCGTTGCTTTGGTATTGAAATTTGGGATTCCCGTCGTGGGAAAAAAGAATGTGTCATTCCTCTCCGGCGGATGTTGCTCGATTTGTGGGAGAGGAGAAATGAGAGACATGAGAGTGGTGCGTTGCTGCCATGGGGGTTGCTAGTACGCCACATGGGCAGTCGCACATTAATTAGCAAGATTTGGACCTCGAATGACAGACTTAGCCAATTTAAGGACATGAAGCTGCAAATTAATATTTCAGGGACCTATGTGATGCTTCTGAACAAGTTTAAGGACTGCTGAGTGCTGATGCAATATACTTGTTTACAAAATTTATAATTGTGCCACTTGAGGTTCAAATATCATTCATTGGCATATGCTTGCCTATTTGGCATGCCAGCATGGCCATCTGAGAGAGGGAGGGAACCGCCGGTGTACTTTACTCTTTACAAACATAGCACTCTACCGCAAGTAATATCATAAATATGTGATGCAAAGTTTCTGTTCAGGGGCTGTTGTTAAGACTTCAGGTTGACATATATCAACTTGCGCAGTCTACACATGTTGTGTTGCTCCAAATTAATACACCCTCCATTCACATTGTCATTTTAGAAATCACTGTGGTCCAAAACATTTTCATCACCGGTTTCTATTGTAGTGTATTTGTGACATTAAATATAAATGAAACAATAGTGTGAGTATTTGACACCTATCTTTGAGGGGAATAATAGGATTAATAACCTATGACATGAGAAAGTAATTGATACCATATGTGCTTCACATTGTTTGTCAAACAATCATTAATCCAAAAGCAAGTATTAACCAGATGGAAATTGATAACATGTGCTGTGGCTGTATGCTGCCCGAGCCAAACTTGAGCAATGTTTGTCCTTAATTGTGAAAAGAGCGCTTATTAGCATCCATCATACTTGTCATTTGTACCATTCTTCATTAAACTCGACATTCCCCCGATGCTTAGTTCGAAGTAGAAATTAAAGTAGCAGAATGAAATGTATTTCTTTTGGGGTGGATCGGTGGGTGGAGTAGGATAGGGGCATGAGTCTTCATGTACTGAATTCTCTTAAACGTTATACTTCTGGATTTCCTTTTCGTTGAATGTTGTAATAATATGGCTTAGATTGCTAACTATTGGAATTGACTGATAAGTGGAGAAATACTCCATTCCTTAAAAAAGTTCGTTTTGGACATGATTTAAGATACCAAGGAGTGATTAATTAGAGTCTATTTTCCCTTGTTTGCCCTTATTAAATAGCCTGTTGGGCATCCATTTGATGAATAACTCTCTGCGTCTGACTGGTTACTGAGGTGCGCTCCGTGGCGAGCAGCGCGGGTTCGATCCCACGCTCGCTTATTTTTGTTGCAAGCACTGCTTCTTTTTCTTTTTTGCGATTTATGCATGGCGCGCTGGTACTGCATGCGCCGGAAAAGAAGAGGCCAGACAGGTGAAGTACTCCATGCACTGGAAACGAAGAGGAGTTAATGCATGACTGCTTGCACTCCAAACGATGAGACTGCGTTAATGCGGGGGCCAAACTCGTCTCATGAAATGGTGGACCACCTAAAATGAATTCCTTTGTGAAAACGCTCCAAACCTTCAGAACGAACTTTTTTAAGGGATGGAGGAAGTAAAAGATAAGGATTGGTATACTTCAACAGTATCTAGAGACTAAAAGAAATAACATGCAAGATATAACTAAGATTTAGACAAGGACCTACATAGCAGCACACTTCACTTGCTGTGACTTTGCTCCTGCAGTTAGAATTAAGCTTTCAAATACTGTTAAGTTTCTGCAGTTCACTTTCAATATAGTCTATGTCAGCAGAAACCTGTTTTCAGATGGAGAGTCCTGCCTGGTCATCTACAAAATGGCATCCATAAATCTATATTTCCATGACCTAATTGTATTGCCAAACATAATGTTCAATGTGCATATATAATGCCATGTAGGGTTAAAAACTGGCAGGATATATCCTGTCCTGTTTTTCACATTTGACCAGCCCGTTTTCATATTTCTGGTTTCTGGGGAAAAAAACCCAGAAACAGGATGGGAACCAGGATGGAAGTCTGGGACACGGACCAGAATGGGAGAGGGTCCATCTCGCTCGTTTTTGCGGGATCCCGTATTTATACTCAGAAATGCCCCATATTTGTCATTGGAGATAAGCCCAGCAAGCAACAGGAGCAGTTCCCCCTACCCCTACAGGCTAACAGTCCCACACACACTGGTTGGTCCACCAGTCCAGCCCGGCAATGCGACTATGCTTTGTGTGCCTGTGCGCACGGGCGGGTGCCACCTGCTGCCACGAGGCCCTTGCATGGCTGCACCGTGCTGCTGATGTGCCACTGCACAGCTCCCCACCTTGCTTGTCACTGCCCGCTTGGAACCCCTTTAATCTTTATCCGATCAAGTCGGGCTCTCGGTGGATTTTGTTGCCAACATTGGGTTTGGGAAGCATATTGTCTGTGCCGCTGTCACACAATCTGCGGCTGGGTGCTGTCTGCTGACCGCTGGCCTGCTGCTTGTGTCTTGTGCAGCAACACCCAGCCAGCCAGAGCAAACCAGTGCCTAAGCAGCCTGCAGGAGTAGGACTGCAGCTAGTTCACTTGTTTCCATATGTTGTTCAGTTGTTCATTTGTTTGCATATGTTAGATATGTAACAATGTAAGTGTAAACGTGTGGTGTTCAGTTTAAATTTCCCGGTTTCAGTCCGTTTCTGTTGAATTCCTGCTTATCCTGATTCTGTCCATTTCCCATTTACCCGGTTCATATTCCTGTTTATCCTGATTCTGTTCCCAACTTTTCTGGTCTTGCTCCCATCCCCGTTGATATAATGTGGACATGAAAAATTAGTAAATGGTTTTCCTGCTCGTTTCTGTCCGATTTCATCCCAAATGCCATGTTACCAAAGGAAGAAGCTGCACAGTGCCATCATCCTCTTGGAACTGTGTTTCAAAAGAGCTTCTCCACTTTGGAAAGATTGGGTGTAATTATTGTTATATTTCCAATTTCTACTCTTGCTTTAATTCTGTGAAGGAAGTCAAGTGACCGTACCATGTTGCTCTCAAGTCTCAATAGGGGTATCTGTGACCTCATTAACTACTGTTTAGAGTTTAGACTTGTTTATATAAGCATAATGGGTTGGATGGATATTGTGAAGAAGGGTATCAAGTATCTTGTTTTGCTAGCAAAAATAAAAGTAGCTAAGAATAAAGTTTCCCATGAAGTTAGGTTGCATCTGTTTTCAACATTTGGCTCTTAATTTCCTCAGATGTTCATGATAAATTTGTGCTTTCTGTGGAATCTCAATGTTTCTCTATTTAATGGCATCCACAACTAGAAAAGTTTTACCAAAGCTTTTAACATTTCCAGGTTTGCTGTTATGGGTCTGGTGACGAACTATTTTGGACCCCCTCGTCCAGGCAGTACAAAGCGCTAATCTGTGGAAGGACACCATGTGCTTCATCCTTCATTGGCTATATCTAGCCAATCTTTTTGGTGCTTCGATAGCTTTGCCATTGGTTCTGACATTTATGTATGTCCAATTTGAGCAAACGTCATAGGTATGGACAGGACCGGTACATGTATGATGCCCAATAATTTATTTGTGCAGTACTAGTACATGTCTTGGTTCTCCCAGATATTATAAGACAAGCCGAAACATTTTTCGGCTGATTTGTTGTGAGAGAAAAACACTGTTTCGATTGAAAAAAAACAAGCTGAAAAATACGGATTATAAGACAAGCGAACATGGCCACTATTATCGACGCATGGACTGTACGGAAGAGTTTTTGGTGCCTCCGGGTATGTTGATCAATGCTTCCTGGACTTCGGGTCTACTTCATGTCCCCTCCCCCTTAGCTATGTTCTTCTGGTTCATTGTTATTCCTCCTTTTGTTGCTGTGATAACTTCCGTTGGTAAGCATTCTGGGATA